CCTACTGTATTGGTAGCAAATTTCAGCCAATGAAAACAAATCACGTAAACAAAACGAAAGCAGCATGTCATTTCATATTTTGATGAATATGTAGCCTACGGTACAGAATTAAATAAGATTTTCGTTAAAGAATTGAAGCCAAGAGAAAATCAAAACTTACTTTGGAATATTTACTTAGAAAGAATGTGTTCTTATCTCTTCAAACGGACGGCAGCAAAGCGATGTTGTATTTTGTTTACGTGACCTCATTTCTGTTCTAACGATCTGATTAGTCAGATTTAAATAGCACCAATCTCATTTCCACGCCCCCAAAACGAAATGTAGTGGGCTTAGTTTGATATGGGTTAATAAGACCATGTTAAAACCTGTATTCGTGATACGCTGTTGTGTTTTGTTTACATGACCTCATTTCTGTTCTAACGATCTGATTGGGAACAAGTAGTGTACAAGTAGTGTACATTTTTCGCGAACATTTAGTGTACATTTGGGAACAAGTAGTGTACATTATTTGCGAACGAGTGTACGTTTTCAAGCACATTTAGTCTACAAAATGTAAAGATGAAACCTGTTTATCAATTAACGTAGGTCCTTTTTCATGGATTGGATTTTCTCAAACACTATTTCGTTTACATACGGTAAAATTTTGTGCACAATATCGCGAACAATTAGTGTAGCCTTTGCGAAAATTTAGTGTACACTTTTCGCGAACATTTATTGTACACTTTTCCGAATATTTAGTGTACATTTTCACTAACATTTAGTGGACGTTTTTGCGAACAACCACACAAAATTACCTCCCTTCAATCTTTCTGATATCTGTCGTCTGCATACACCTCAAAAATGAAACCTGGTTCAATTTGTTGTTTGTGGGTTGTGGTAATAAAAGTGAGAAAAATTACATATTCATAGCTAAATATTGTCCAATCAAAATTGGCCCTATTGTATTGGTAGCAAATTTTAGCCAATGAAAACAAATCACGTAAACAAAACGAAAGCAGCGTGTCATTTCATATTTTGATGAATATGTAGCCTACGGTACAGAATTGAGTAAGATTTTCGTTAAAGAATTGAAGCCGAGAGAAAATCAAAACTTACTTTGGAATATTTACTTAGAAAGAATGTGTTTTTATCTCTTCAAACGGACGGCAGCAAAGCGATGTTGTATTTTGTTTACGTGACCTCATTTCTGTTCTACTAATCTGATTGGTCAGATTTAAATAGCACCAATCTCATTTCCACGCCCCCAAAACGAAATGTAGTGGGTTTAGTTTGATATGGGTTAATAAGACTATGTTAAAACCTGTATTCGTGATACGCTGTTGTGTTTTGTTTACATGACCTCATTTCTGTTCTAACGATCTGATTGGTCAGATTTAAATAGCACCAATCTTATTTCCACGCCCCCAAAACGAAATGTAGTGGACTGAGTTTGATACAGGTTAATAAACCCGTATTCGGGAAACGATGATTGTAAGAGGATTGGTCAATATTCACCTGTCAATCATTCTAGCTAATCTGTGAATATAATAGAATTAACCGACAGTTGTTTTGATAATAATGGGCTAAAAAAAAGGGAACCATTAAATTTGATAATTTGTTAATTGTAAGCTAAAAAAAATGTCACAAAAAATAAAAAATTTGGTGTAAAAATATGTGTTTTTGCAAGTTTGATTGTCTTCTGCTAGGCGTCTGATATATGGGTGTCGTGGGTTTGAATCCTCCTCAATGTTAGAAAAAATATGATGCCTTGACCGATGCTTTCAAAAGTTGGTTTGTTGTCAGCTTTGAATCCCTATGACTAATGTAGTGAGTTGGATTATCGTTTGCTAGGATTGGGTGTCGTGGGTTTGAATCCACAAGGCAATAAATTGGTAAGTAAAATTCTTATGCCTTGGCCAATGCTTCCGAAAAATTGCCTTAATGTTTGCTTTCTACCGATAACACCAAAAGCGATGGTTTCAATTAAACCTTTGTGTGATCATTTATATTGATGAGATCCTGGTCAAGTTCAAAATTGACAATTTTTCAATGAATAGTTTTTGAGTTATTGCCCTTGACTTAGTAAAAATGTGTCAATATTTCTGAAGACAATGGAGACTACAGTTTTCAACTGATTTGAATGAAATTTGGTGTGATGATTTATATTGATTAGATCTTGGTCAAGTTCAAAATAGACAATGGTTTTGGAGTTATTGCCCTTGACTTAGTTGTTTGTGAACACAATAGAGACTACAGTTTTTATCTGATTTTAATGATACACTGAAATTATGTTGAATTTGGCTTGTGAACGCTATAGAGGTGTCAGAACTTTATGAAATTTTGTGTGTTTGTTTAAATCAACAATATCTTGCACGAATTAGATTTTTGGTATGATTTGACACAGATAGGTGACCTCCCTTGATATACTGAAAATGTATCGGGAAAGTGGGCGTATGTTATATCTAAAATCATTAAAAATTTTGGACCGGAAGACATTCTGTGACAAATGACATTAAAATTTGGAATATTTGTGAAATAGGTGAAAAATTCAATTTTAAGCACACTGTAGACAGATAGTTACAGCGTAACTTGTGTAGATGGTCACAAAAAAAGCGAAAATTGAAAATTACAAAATAATTTTATTAAATTAATTCGTTAACAATAATAATAATAATATAAATACAAAATTTTCACCAGTATCATTTCAAAATATCACAGTTTTTATACGATTAATAATATTTTACATATACTTCATTTTTAACACATTTAAAATCTGGAAAACAACCTAAAACACCTAGATTAACTTTTGACGTCATCAAAAAGTTTTCATTGGAATTGCAGGGACCACAGACTTCTGATTGAAAATTTGAATGGTGTAAATTGATGCTGTCAGTGTCTCTGATACACATAAAAAATTTAGAAAACTTCTTTACAATCTCTTTAACAAGAACCACAGACATCTGATTGAAAATTAGAATGATGTAAATTGATGATATCAGTGTCTCTGATACACATAAAAAAATTAGAAAACCTCTTTACAATCTCTTTAACAAGAACCACAGACGTCTGATTGAAAATTAGAATGGTGTAAATTGATGCTATCAGTGTCCCTGATACACATAAATTTAGAAAACTTTTCAAATCTATTTAAACCAAGTTCAATGAATGATGTCCCTAAGGGTCATATTTTCCAGCCCCAACCCGTCTAACTGTATATTGAGATCTGTCGAAGGTGTATTCTTACTACTGGTAGTCACTATGGAGTTAGTTTTTAACTGTCCACGGTTGGTTGGTGGGAGGAGCTGACCCTGCTCGGACGGGTTCGTTCTTGGATTGTTACCCAGGTATAAATTCTGGACATTCTGAAAAAAAAAAATACATTTTTCATTGATGATTTTCTCTATGTATTTAAAAGCTCAATTCATGCTGTTTCTGCTATGAAACCTTCATCAGGAGAACAAGTTTTGGAAATTATGTCATTTTTTGAGCCATGGTACCTCTGTGAAATGGTCATGGAAAAATTTCTAGTCGTTCAGAGGATAATAAACCGAGGCTCTGTGTGCTACAGGCTGAACACATTAAAGATCCCTTGACAGATTGCAATCGAAAAAGTAGGATAATCCCGATGTCTTGGCAAAATTTTTCCTCATTGCACACTGCATGGCGTTGCCCATTAGCACGATAAGGTGCAGAAAAGTAGGTCTAATGACCATCTTTGGGCATTCTAAAAACAAAGGTTCTGGGCAGGGAGACCAGACCCAAGATTTAGGGTAAAAAAGTGAGCGCTATATAAGCAATTATACAGTATATAAATACTGACCAAATCATGTGCTTGTTGAAGAGCTTGAGTTAAAATTCTTTCTCTAGAAGCTGATCTATTTCCACTGGATGATCTACGTTTTAAATACTGGTGTTTAATACTTGGATCTCTAGCTAACATTCTACCTCTTCTGTTACTGCTGGAATCTGAATTATAATGGTAATATTGTGGTCTGGATTAGTGCATTGTTAACAAGAGTTACTTCCCTTTTAGTGGGAGAGTTGCCTGTCTTTAAGGACACTCTTAAATATAGCAAAGTTGCTTGCCTTGATATTGCTTTAGTAGTCGTATTGTGGTCTGTATTAATCCCTTCTTGACAAGAGTTACTTCCCTTCCTATCAGAAAGAGTTGTTTGCCTATCTTAAAGGACACTAATAAAAAAAACTTGGCTGAACTTGTCTGTCTGCCCTCTATTTGAACCCCAGTCTCAAGAGGCCGTCATCACCAGAGCAAGCAAATGATGTCATATAAAGACTCAAAAGCTCTAACAGACAATACTACAGCTGGTCCTCAAAACTGCAAGTCCAAATTTTGAGCACCATGTGAAAAAAAAGTGTCATACCTGCTTTTGAAAAGCCTGAAGGCACAACTGGAGGCCGTCTGCTATTATAGGAAGGTAAAGAACTAGTATTTCCCGTCAATGGTAAACTGTTGAATTCAATATCGTTAACAACGTGACCACCAACTGATGATAACCTGTTATTAATAGCTTGACGATTTTCTTCTGCTCGCTGTAATAATTGGTTGCCTGGCAACTGTGCATGCGGTACATATTCTAAGAAAGACGGATTACTTATTCTGAAAAAAAGATGAACCATATTGAAAATTAAAAACAATCCAACAAGAGTTATTGCCCTTGTTCTTGAAAACTCGTAAACACTCTAGAAGGCCCAATTCTTGACAAATTTTGACGAAACTTGGTGTTTGGTGTGAGTGTTTGTCACCACCCAAGGATGAACCCTATCGAAAATCAGAAAAATCGAAAAATGTTTAGTATGAGTTATTGCCCTTTTTCTTGAAAACTTGTAAACACTCTAGAAGGCACAATTCTTGACAGATTTTGATGAAACTTGGTATGTGAGTTCATTTCCATCTAAGCATAAAATATATAATGAGTTATTGCCCTTGTTCTTGAACGTTTAATTTCAACTAAGTAAACACTCTAGAAGGCACAATTCTTGACAGATTTTGACAAAACTTTGAGTGTTATCACCCAAGGATGAACTGGGTTCAACCTTATCGAAATTTTAGAATTATCAGAATATTTAGTATGAGTTATTGCCCTTGTTCTTGAAAAAGCGTTCAATTTTTAGCTCGTAAACACTCTAGAAGGCACAATATTTCTTGAGTTATTGTCCCTGTTTCTCGAAAACGCGTTCGATCATAAGCTTACCTATTATCAGCAGACGTCAATCCAGTTCCAGCTAGCTCTAAACTAGATGGCGCTCTATGTTGTACGTGATTGGATCGTACTGCGCGGCGTAATTGATGTCTATTTATAGTATCTGTTCTATTGGACGGTACGTGACTAATTCCAACACCTGGTATTTCTAAAATTAACGATGACTGATTACTAGTTGTACTTTGTGTTGATTCGGCACTATTTAAACTGGCTCGTCTTTCCCTGAAAGTCAAAATGAGTCAAAATTTAGTTTTAGTTAGAAACAAATACTGTGTCCCCCTGTTTCTGTTATGAAACCTTCATCAGGAGAACAATTTTTGGAAATTATGATGTCATTTTTGAAGCTGTGGTGGCTCAGTGAGTTAGTGTATTAAATAAGTTCGGGGGTGGGGCCGAGGGGCATGCGTTCCTGGGTTCATTCCAATTATTGGTCGAGATAATACCTTCAGATTTTTCAACCCAGTTTCCCCCTGTCAGTGATGTGGGTAAGAGAGGCTGATATGGAAAAAGCTTGTTCAGATGGGACAATAAACTGAGGCCCTATGTGCTACAGGCCGTGCATGTTAAAGATCCCTCGACAGTTGGAAATTGAAAAAAAGGTAGGCTAATGCTGATGTCCTGGCAAAATTTCCCTCATTGCACCCTGCATGGGATTGTTCAATCTGATACAGAAAAGTAGGATTTAAAACTCCATTTCATTTTATTTTCTTACTGTTCTATTAAAGGGATCGTACCTGTGATTATTTGGCGATGTCATCTCTGTTAACGGTGAAGATATTAAGCTACCATCTATAGGACAGGAGATCTTGTATGAAGTAACCAATTATCAACACAGTCTTTATGAAACTACAAAACAATTCAAAACTTAAAACCTGTTAAAATAACTTCTTATATGGACAAGTAACCAATAATACTTTAGTCTCAGAAACAGGAATTTTTTAGCTAAGTTAATCAGTAATAGTGTTCACAGCTCACTGTCGAAATCCATGTGTGTCTAGAATTATCTACGTTTGAAAGTTAAAATGATGACTCGTCTTTTCTTGAGACTCTGCCATATATAGAAAAGACATCTATAGAAATAGTGAGTGAAATTCCTAGTTTGAGATATTTTTAAAGGAATTATGAGATTTTTGTACATTTCTAGTACATCTGCAGACTATTTACATATATACAAGACTTAAATCAACCCCCAAAATGGGGCACCTGTCCCTTTAACTCATATTATCTTGTTTAAAGAGTTTACCTTATGCCTACACGGTAATCTTCTAATCAACTGCCCAACTTCGTAAGCCCGTAAACATATTCTACACTGCATTCCTGGCGCCAATAACTGACCACCTTCTCTTACTCTTTCTTGAGGTAGGGTGTTTATTTCTTCTTCAGTTAAATCACTGCCTTGAATTTCTTGATGGCTGTCCAAAATGAGAAAAAAAATTAGGTTCAGGGTTCTTGTCCTTGACCAAACCTCTTGGTATTGATTTTACAAGGATAACAACTTAGGTTCACAAGGATCCTTTCTACCAGCTGGTCCTTGGTTAAACCTCTTGGTAATGATTTTACAAGGATAATAACTTAGGTTCACAAGGATCCTTTCTACCAGCTGTTCCTTGGTTAAACCTCTTGGTAATGATTTTATAAGGATAATAACTTAGGTTCACAAGGATCCTTTCTACCAGCTGGTCCTTGGTCAAACCTATTGGTAATGATCTTTCCCGGATTATCTGTACCCATTTACAATGAGGAAAGATGACTTATTTAAGGTCTGCAAACTTTCACACACTGACCAAGATATGAACCAACATCCACTATTTGATCGTTGTAACCAAGCAAATGCTCTGACCAACTATACTACAGTCTATCTGAATGACTAGACGCTTTTTCATGTCAGCCTCTCTTACCTACATCACTGACAGGGGGAAACTGGGTTGAAAAATCTGAAGGTATTATCTCAACCTATGCCAGGATTGAACCCTGGACCTTCAGGTTAGCGAGCAAGCGTTTAACTCACTGACAGGGGGAAACTGGGTTGAAAAATCTAAAGGTATTATCTCAACCTATACTGGAATTGAAGACTGGACCTTCAGGTTAGCTAGCATGCGTCTAACTCACTGAGCTACCATGGCTCACAAATGACATCATAATTCCAAAACTTGGACTGGACTACATGCGGCCCCACCCCCCAACTTATTTAATACACCAACCTATCTAATTGTAGAAGATAATCGTAATCATCATCAGTTATATCTCTAGCCATTAAATTATTAACAACAGCTTCCGGGAGGACACCATTATCACGTCTGCTCACACGCTGCCATCTTTGATTTCTCTTCTGTCAAAAACAAATAAGCCTTTTACGTACTTTAGAAGAATGCCCAAAGAGCAAAACAGTCATATTTTGATTTGATTTGACATCTGTAAACATCAAAATTACTTTGTAAACATTCCAGGTGCCAGTGGAATAGCCCAATCTGTGGAGAGTTGGATTGCCGTCTGCTCTCTATGTGGACATTTCTGCGTGAACACTCTACAATCTCCAGTTTTACACCAAGGACCAAGACCAAGTAACAGAGCATAACAGTACCCCTTCCCCAAACACACACACTTAGTTAGTAAGCGAGTATCTCTCTAAGGAGAGGGTGCTATGTTCTCCATGTACATATTATACATACAAAAGGAAGCATCTAAGTAAATGAGCCCGAACCTGCACCATCTTCCTTCCCCCAGAAGAGTTTGAACTATATTTACCTGTCTATATTCAAACTGATGATGTGTGTGTATTGGTGAATTAAAACACGACTGACACAGCATAAAATCAGCACATACAACACATCTATAATACAATAAACACATCTATAATACATTAAACACATGTGTAATGTAATAAACACATCTGTAATAAAATAAACACAGCTAGTTAATTGGATCAACTTCATTCTTACTTCTATAACCAAACTTTATATCAACTCTGGTGGTTATGAAGCAGGCACATTCGGCCATTTTTATGAACCTGTGTTATGAACCTGAGAACAGAACTGTTGTGTGCTAAATCATAATATTACCTGTAGCATTTGCCTTCAATCGGCGCCGTATGACAACTCTGACAGTTGGTACCAAGATGTCTATCCTGTCGTACAACATTCCTGGTTTGTGTTAGACCACCATTAGCATTCCTCATCTCTTCCTTCAGTAAATTAAACGGCCCAAAATCTTCTCGGCACATCGGACATTTTACAAAATTATCACCTTTACCTTTTTGATGTTCGGCCCAAATCTTCATGCATTTAATATGAATGCTGTTCCCACAACCAAATCTACAAAAAACAAAAATATACTAGAGCCACTCTATATCTCAAACATGGATTTCGACAGTGAGCTGTTCCCACAACCAAATCTACAAAAAACAAAAATATATAATTCAACTAATTGAGCATCTTGTAAGAGATATAATTCCTTTAAAAATATCTCAAACTAGGAATTTTACTTTCTATTTCTATATATGTCTTTTCTATATATCACAGAGTCTCAAGAAAAGACGAGTCATCATTTTAACTTTCAAACGCGGATAATTCTGAACACACATGGATTTGAAGGTTCAAATTTCGATAGTGAGCTGTGAACACTATTACTGATTAGCTTAGCTAAAAAATTCCTGTTTCTGAGACTAAGGTATGATTGATACAAAAAAATGGCGCATCTGTCCCTTTAAAGGCTGGCGTTATCATCAAATGAATGAATGTCCAAGAGGGCTGTCGTTAGACCCAAACTGAAGTGGCTATATTAAAAATAAAAGCTAATAAAAAAACGGAACAAGTTTGGTCCAATTTTAATTATACTGTTCTAGAATCAAAGTAAACATACTTGCAGTACGTAACCGGTAAATGTTTTGCCAAAAGTTCGTCTTGACAAATAGGGCAGACGTCATCCTCAGAGATCTCTCTTTGACCTTTGACCTCTCGCCCGTCTGAAGCCTGTATTACTGATCTGTGTGTTTTTTTCTCTTGTTGTCTTCGCTGCTGTTGCTGGACGACACCACGTAAAACTTCATTGATTTCTCTTTCTACTAATCCTAGTTGCCATGTTACTGAAAAAACAGGGAAAATAATGAACTTTATACTTTATATGTCCCTGATACACATAAAAAATTTAGAAATCCTCTTTACAATCTCTTTAACAAGAACCACAGACATCTGATTGAAAATTAGAATGATGTAAATTGATGCTATCAGTGTCTCTGATACACATAAAAAATTTAGAAAACCTCTCTACAATCTCTTTAACAAGAAAGAACCACAGACATCTGATTGAAAATTAGAATGATGTAAATTGATGCTATCAGTGTCCCTGATACACATAAAAAATTTAGAAAACCTCTCTACAATCTCTTTAACAAGAAAGAACCACAGACATCTGATTGAAAATTAGAATGATGTAAATTGGTGCTATCAGTGTCCCTGATACACATAAAAAATTTAGAAAACCTCTCTACAATCTCTTTAACAAGAAAGAACCACAGACTATCTCTACCAAGGTATTACAAGAAGAAAGGCACACAGATCCACACAAAATAACATCAGTTTTAAAACTTACATGGGTTTTCCTTGGGAATACGAAATTTCTTTAACAGAAGCCAGCTGATATGTTTACACAGGTCTTTATCTTTTTTAAACTGAGCACAGGTACAACTATGGGGATCCCCTAAAAAAACCTGAAAAATAGTTCAAAATTATAACAAATATTAAACTGATTTTCTCACGATATTCTTTTGTAGGTTTGTATTTCCAGTCATTAGTCCAATACAATATAGCAGGTTTTCTAAATTTTGTATGTGTATTGGAGCCATTTATAGCTTCTATTAGCATCATCCTAATTTTCAATCTGACGTCTGTGGTTCCTGCAATTCTACTAAAACTAAGTATTTTATGACGTCACTTTTGCAAAAGCTGCTAATAATATCTAAGGGCCTTTTGCAAAAGTGAAGTCATAAAATACTTAGTTTTAGTGGAATTGCAGGAACCACAGACATCTGATTGAAAATTGGAATGGTAAAAATCAACACTATCAGTGTCCCTGATATACATCAAAAATTTATGTTGTTTACAATATTCTTAATTTAAAAATCTTCTAGTTTTCGTCTGTTAGAATCTGAATCAATGCTTATACCTTGACATTTTTTGGTTCTCCCTCTTCCTTCAATAAAAACCCAGTTGGTCCCCTTTCTCTTAAGATGTAGATGGTAGCATTCCCTGCCTCGGCCTGTCTCCAACAAACTATATCATTGATATTTCTCCTCCATTGTACACTGCGAGCCATTGTAAAGTTTGTAATCAATTCACAAGGCTGGTGGTTTACTCATAACTTTTTTTACAGCAAATTATCTGAAATTTGGAAAATTAATACGCTAATTAAACTAATTGTCTTGGTGAATGAAAAGAAGAAACAACTTAGGTTCATGAGGATCCTGTTTATCAGCTGGTCCTTGGCCAAACTTGTTGGTCTTAAACGAGTGGAGATGAAACAAACGAAAGCTCTAACTGACTGTGTATCTGGTACGTTTGGCAAAATATAATTTACATAGCTCGAATCTCAGAACTGTAAACTTTTTAAGATAAATTTCTTTTCAGTTTCTGCCATTTGCATAGACTTTCAGATTCCAGGGCAATTTTTAAAAATATTGTGCCATTGTGAAGATGATTAAAGTTTTTCAGACTCCTTTCTGTCTAATTATAAGAGAACATCTGCCTCTATTCCACTTCCAGCCTCTGCTAGCCTAATGAACGTGTGGACTTATGGAATCAGAAAATCTGGTTTTGTGGGGATTTTCTGCACCTGTCAACAGCCATCAGATGCTGGAATAAAGGTAGATGTTTTGGAGAGAACTGGGCATTGATTTCTGAAAAATGATTCAAGCAGACGAAAAGATGGAGCAGGCACTTTTTCTAGAATTCATTGAAGTTTTTTTTTCTTGAATTCCGCCCAGTCAACTTTGGTTTCCATTACAAGCAAAATACAATCTAAAGCATTGATTTGGAACCCGCAGAGTAGAAACATTATTTTTACAAACATAAAACTAGTTTTTAAACCAACCTGGCGTTCAAAAATACATTTATTCAATTTAAATTCCCTTTCATTTCTCTTTACACTCTCTTTTGGAAGCCATGTTGTTTACATGCCTCGCTCTCATATCGCCAAGAACATGACCTTTGACCTTTACAAAAGTGTAACCATTAATTACTATTTCGTAACCACTGAAAGGTTTTTATTTTGCCAACTTAAAATTATGAAAAAAATGATTTGCTAAGATTAAAAAAAGGGTAGGCTAATGCCGATGTCGTGACAAAATTTCCCTCATTGCACACTGCATGGCATTGCCTGTTTTCATAAGCGTTAATTAGATGCAGAAGAGTAGGACGTAAAATTCTGCATGGCGTTGCCTGTCCTCATTAGCCGAAATTAGATGCATAGACCTAGTTGGCGTAACCTCCTAATACCTAACCCTTATCCTCCTCAAGGTAAGAAAAATTCTGATGCCTGTGCAAGTGCTTTTGAGAGTCGACCCGTTGTCGACGTAACCCCCTGTCTAATGAGTCTAATATTATAGCGCGTCATGAAAAAAACGTCGTTATAAACAATACGTCATTAACACATTTAGTTTGATTACGGCTTCCTTTCACTTGTTTTCCCACAGTTGCGGCGCCCGTGGGGGTACAGACAGGGGTCTAGAAAAAATGGTTAGCACCCCCCAATTTTTGTACCTCTACTTTATTGTCGCTAGGATGGGACAATAAACCGAGGTTACAGGCTGCACGTTAAATCCGTCATAAATCCGCAGGGGTAATTTGGGAGGTGGGGGGTGGTCGTGGATTGCTGAAGTAAAGAAGACGAGATTTACAACCAGGCTTATCAATACCTTGAATAAAAGTAACAATTAATGAATTGACTGAAATTGGTGATATAAGTCGTACTTCAGAATTTCGGGGGTAGGGGTGAAGGTTGGGCTATGGTACCCTTGACCGCCCCACCCCACCCTCCTGTCTCCTATCACTAGCCTAATTAAACAATCGAGCTAATGGAACTCTATCATTAAGGCAATTAGAGTTAATAACTGCACAGCGAAAAACCGACAGTTTCGAATAGATAATCGGACGTCTGCTGAAGCTGATTGAGGAAAACGCAGATGAGTTAGTGACGATTTCTCGATTCCATTGCCAGTGCTTCCGAAAGAACTAGGGTATGTCGAGTTAATTTCTGCACAGCGAAAAAACCGACAGTTTCGAATGGATGATTAGACGTCTGCTGAAACTGATTTAGGAAACCACAGCCGGAGTATTTGACGAATTCTGATTCCACGACCAGTGCTTCCGAAAGTCAACAAGATATGTCGAGTTAATTTCTGCACGGTGAAAAAGCCGACAGTTTCGAATGGATAATTAGTCGTCTGCTGAAACTGATTGAGGAAAACACAGGTGAGTTGGTGACGAATTCCAATTCCACGACCAGTGCTTCCGCAAGTTAACAAGGTATGTCGAGTTAATTTCTGCACAGCGAAAAAATCGACAGTTTCGAATAGATGATTTGACGTCTGCTGAAACTGATTGAGGAAAACACAGGTGAGTTGGACAAATTCTGATTCCACGACCAGTGCTTCCGAAAGAAATCAAGTCCATTCGAGTTAATTTCTGCACATCGAAAAAACCGACAGTTTCGAATAGATGATTTGACGTCTGCTGAAACTGATTGAGGAAAACACAGGTGAGTTGGACAAATTCTGATTCCACGACCAGTGCTTCCGCAAGAAATCAAGTCCATTCGAGTTAATTTCTGCACATCGAAAAAACCGACAGTTTCGAATAGATGATTTGACGTCTGCTGAAACTGATTGAGGAAAACACAGGTGAGTTGGACAAATTCTGATTCCACGACCAGTGCTTCCGAAAGAATTCAAGTACATTCGAGTTAATTTCTGCACAGCGAAAAAATGGACAGTTTCGAATAGATGAATTGACGTCTGCTGAAACTGATTGAGGAAAACACAGGTGAGTTGGACAAATTCTGATTCCACGACCAGTGCTTCCGCAAGAAATCAAGTCCATTCGAGTTAATTTCTGCACAGCGAAAAAATGGACAGTTTCGAATAGATGATTTGACGTCTGCTGAAACTGATTGAGGAAAACACAGGTGAGTTGGTGACGAGAGTGAGAGTGTCATGGCAGACGATCGAAAAACAATAGCTGATTAACGACTGTGATCAACACATCATTATCGGCTGCAAACGATCTCGGCACCTGCCAACTAGCTCCATTCTTTGTCGTTAATTTCATGCGGATCTTGTCAATGGTGGATTGAAAATATTCAGGTAAGAAGACGTCTTCCATCTTGTATTTTTATTTTCCTTATCTTTGTATCTCCGTGAAATTGATGTTGTTGTTTTATGTCAACTGCGATGTTATGATGATGGCGATGACAAATTTTGTTCACTGTTTTTTCTCCGTTTTTGTCTGATTTTAGGCCATTTATCTTTGATAAATTTGAGAAAAGGTTAGCGGTTGGTTAGATCTAATATTTATTCCCATAAAAGAATAGATTGGTTTTTATTTGTTCAATACCAGGAAGCGATGTCGGCTTACTTTTAGTGTGTGGGGGAGGGGCAACTCTGTACGATTAATGATAGCTCGACATTTGTAGATAGAGGCGTAGGAGACCAGGGCCAGGGGGAGGGGGAAGGAGCTGCTTAAAATGCACAAATTTCCTCCCAAAAGTTTCCTGTGATCCATGCTTTGACTAAAAACATCCCTCTGTATAAGGAAATTTCCATATTTTCAAATTTCCATATTTCCAAAATTTCTAAATTATAAAATTTTACCATTGGGCATTTTGATCAAACCACGAAGTCAATATAATAAAAATGATTGGTTTCATTCATTCATTCATTCATTCATTCATTCATTCATTCATTCATTCATTCATTCATTCATTCATTCATTCATTCATTCATTCCTTTATTCATTCATTCATTCATTCTCTCATTCGTTCATTTTGCCTTGACAACTTAATGAAAACATACAAAACTCCAAAAAACTAAACCTTACTAACATTCATTCATTCATTCATTCATTCATTCATTCATTCATTCATTCATCAGTGATACAGGTAAGAGGGGCTGACATGGAAAAAGTGTCTAGTCTTTCAGATGGGACAATAAACAGAGACCATGTGTGCTACAGGCTGTGCACGTTAAAGATCCCTCGACAGTTGGATATCGGAATTTGGCAAAATTTCCCTTATTGCACCCTGCATACTGTTGCCCGTCTTCATTAGCCCACATGGTGCAGAACAGTAGGATGTAAAACTCCATTCATTTCATTTCATTCAATTTCCCTTACAACTGTATGAAAGCACACTATTTAAAAGATAAAAAAAGGAAATTAGAAAGAAAATAAATGTATTTTATAAAACAGTGTTAAAATTTGATTTAATTCCTAACTATTGATTCAATCTACAATCAAATTTTTTCTTTGCCTTACAATATTGTGTTTGTACAATGAATTGACAAGCTCATTTCATGCTGTTGACACATCTGGTTGACATGTGTTTCAGATACACAATCCTCATCAGGACAGCTAGTTTTGGATGGAGGTTAACTTTCTAATATAGTTCATCTCATACTGCCGAGAATGGAGTAAAACTCTCCAATATATATATTTATGTTAGCATACCCATGTTTCAGATACACAATCCTCATCAGGACAGATAATTTTGGAAACGGGACTTAATGTTAGCTTATTGACTAGAGCTCATATCATGCTACCAACATGTGTTTCTGATACACAATCCTCATCAGGACAGATAATTTTGGAAATGGGACTTAATGTTAGCTAATTGACTAGAGCTCATCTCATACTGCTGACATGTGTTTCAGATAAACAATCCTCATCAGGACAGATAATTTTGGAAATGGGACTTAATGTTAGCTTATTGACTAGAGCTCATATCATGCTACCAACATGTGTTTCTGATACACAATCCTCATCAGGACAGATAATTTTGGAAATGGGACTTAATGTTAGATAATTGACTAGAGCTCATCTCATACTACCAACATGTGTTTCTGATACACAATCCTCATCAGGACAGCTTGTTTTAGAAATGGAGGTTAACTTTCTAATATAGGACTTAATGTTAGATAATTGACTAGAGCTCATCTCATACTGCTGACATGTTTCAGATACACAATCCTCATCAGGACAGCTAGTTTTAGAAATGGAGGTTAACTTTCTAATATAGATCTTAATGTTAGATAATTGACTAGAGTTCATCTCATACTGCTGACATGTTTCAGATACACAATCCTCATCAGGACAGATAATTTTGGAAATGGGACTTAATGACTAGCTAATTGACTAGAGCTCCTCTGATGCTACATTCGCGTGTTTTAGATACACAATCCTCATCAGGTCAGCTAGTTTTAGAAATGGAGGTTGAGTAGAGCTCGTCTCATGTTACTGACATGTTTCAGATACACAATCCTCATCAGGACAGATAATTTTGGAAATGGGACTTAATGTTAGCTAATTGACTAGAGCTCATCTCATACTACCAACATGTGTTTCTGATACACAATCCTCATCAGGACAGCTAGTTTTAGAAATGGAGGTTAACTTTCTAAAATAGGACTTAATGTTAGCTAATTGACTAGAGTTCATCTCATACTGCTGACATGTTTCTGATACACAATCCTCATCAGGACAGCTAGTTTCAGAAACTGTCATGCTGCTGACATGTTTCAGATACACAATCCTCATCAGGACAGCTAGTTTTAGAAACTGTCATGCTGCTGACATGTTTCAGATACACAATCCTCATCAGGACAGCTAGTTTTAGAAATGGAGATTAACTTTCTAATATAGGACTTAATGTTAGCTAATTGATTAGAGTTTATCTCGTGCTGCTGACATGTTTCAGATACACAATCCTCATCAGGACAGTTAGTTTTAGAAATGGAGGTTAACTTTCTAATATAGGACTTAATGTTAGCTAATTGATTAGAGTTTATCTCGTGCTGCTGACATGTTTCAGATACACAATCCTCATCAGGACAGCTAGTTTTAGAAATGGAGGTTAACTTTCTAATATAGAT